TACATTGCAGCTACTGATAAATATCACTTCTGTGAAGATCTAATACTAAATAAGGACTAGATTTGGAGATAATGCTTACACGCAGCTGTGTCAAACAGATCCAGATTTTGCTCAGCACAACACCTGGATACTATTTGTTACCCATTTTTCTCCTTTGTGATATGATTTAAACAAAATATACTATAGTACCATCCCCCTCCCACGACAGGCTGGAGCAGGTAAACAATGTAAAGAAATAAAGCTAGAAGTGGGAAGGATGACAAGAAAGATATTGGGAGGGGGAGAAGAGAAGAGGATGGTTACTGTTCAACAATTTCAGAAGCTCTCACTCTGGGCATCTTCCATGCAGATCTGACAGGCACAGAATGGTGCCATGAAACTGCCTCCAGCAACGGAATACATTTTCCAGCACATCACAGCAACTGCATTGGCATCAATTCCGCTTGCAATCCATGTCCAAACAGAAAAGTTCTCAGTGGTCCTATTTCAGCATATCTCAAGGACTAATTAAATCCTCATTACGATCTTCTAATTATTCCAGTGCTCTGGGATTTCACTGAGCAAGTCCCTGATGGTGCATTAGATGAAAAGGGTTAAATAACCTGTGTTGATTCTGAGACTCCAGATCTATTTCAAGACCTTTAGCATATCATCAGCATTATCATGAATATTTAACTATACACCGCTGTGAAAATTATAAGGGGAAAACAATTAAAGATTTTTTATAAATTAATTCTGACCCATATTCATTTGCCCTAATAAATAAGGCTTCTTTAAGTATCCCCATTATGACAGCATATGCTACAGTGGGAGTATGTGGTCATTTACGGTTTCCATTACATTCAGTGGTTCTGAGAAGTTCCCAATTTACTATTTTAATATAAATAAGACTGAAACTTGGCATGCAATTTTTGAACCCAGATGAGCATTTTAAAAAATAATGTACTTAAATAGGAGAAGATGAGTTTTGTGGGCTTTTTTAGGATACAGGAAAGAACTTTTCGTTTGTTCTGAGGTAAAAAAAAGTCAAATTTCGACCTTATTGTAAAATATACTTTTGTATTTGTAAAACAAACTAATAAAATGATCAGGCTACTATAATAAGGGAAGGAGTGTAATCTAGTGTTTAGGTCAGGGAATAATTAGGATTTTTAGATTCTATTCCCAGATCTGGCATTAATTCATGTTGTGACCTTGAACAAGTCACCAAGAAACAGATTGTTAAAAGTATTTAGATGCCTAGCTAACTTCCATTGATTTCAAAGGGCATTAGGAGCATAAAGAGCTTTAAAAATCTATCCCTTAGGCCATATTTTCAAAAAAGTGTCTGTTAATTTGGATATGTCAGTTTTTGTATGTCCAATCCGAGACACCTAAGGTGTGATGTTCAGAGGTGCTGCACATCCACAATACCTACTGACTTCTACTGAAATACTGGATGCTCAGCACCTCTCAAACTAAAGCACCTAAAAATTGAGGACCTCAGAATTAGTGAATACTTCTGAAAATTTTGACTATAACCTCCAAGTATCTCAGTTTACCTATCTGTAAAAGCAGGTTCAATATTACTTACTTCACCACCATACGGTGGCATTGTGAGGCTTAAATAATTAATGTTTGTAAAATACTTCGAATTAATTGTATGGAAGAGGAGAAAACGACACCAGTGTACAATCTGGAGTAACTCTGCTAAAATCAGTGGTATGACTGAAGACTGAATTTGCCCCATCAAGCTAAAAAAAAATATTATAAACTTTGCATCAAAAAGATATGAAGCAACCACTTTTGTGTAATTTCTTGTGGCACCATTTATATAAAACAACTTATTTTGATAAAATCCTTAGAGGTTCCATTGACTGTGTATCAAATCTAAATAACGGAAGGACCCCAAATATGAATGGAAGTGAGTAGCATGAACCAAATGTTTCCACTGATACTGTACCAGGTCAAAGGAATTATGGACCAGATATGATATGAATGATTTTCAAAATCATTTGCAAATACAGACAACTTTTTACACTACTGCTAAAAGAAGTAAGAAATAAAAAACATAAAAAGTAATTTGAAGGGCTTGGCAAATCCAAAACCTGTCGAAATTCCTATTACTGTGCACATGAACACAGATTACACACAGACACACATGCAGTACATATAAAAAAAACCTGGTTCCTTGATACTGCACTTCTACAGTATGGGATGTACAGCCTTAGGCTGGCAAACATAAGCAATCCCAGCTGGGTGCTGAGTAACCATGGAAAGAAGGATAAAATACTATCAAACACTTTCAAAATAAAATAACTAAGTGTAAACATAATGGTTCAGTGTGGAGCTTTAGGATTTAGAAGTGCTGTAGCTCATATCCTACCCTGTCAATCAAGCTGCAGTGTATCTGACTAATAATATTTTTTTCAAGTGTTGAGGGTATAGAATTCCATTCAGTAAGCCATTAGAAGCCCTTTGTTCATTCAGTCATTTATCTAAACAAGGAAAGAAAAGTTAGGTGATGTGCTAGAAGGAACAAAAACACCTTATCCTAAATTGGAGGGTCACTCGTTTTTTTTTTGCTGGAAATCATTCATATCAGTGAGCCAAGTGTTTAAATTACTGTAACAGATGCCTGCGGATCAGGTGTCTTCAGCGGCAACGATTTTCTGCTCAGTTTTTATCAGTAATTGACAAGCACGTTCCCTTTGAGCCCCACCTTTCCCCCTCCTTTCCCTCTCCAAGTCAGTGGAAATCAGTTCAAGCAAGCAAAGGAATCAACTAATGTAACAGCCTTTTTAAAAGGTGAAGTTTTCCATTTCAAAGGAGCCTCTAATCAATGATAGGGCACAAAAGGGAATGTATGCATGTTTATGTGTGTACTGCATTGCCTTTACAGAAGCTTTGGGGATCATGTTCTGCAAAATCAATATAACCTAGCTGGTTACAAATTTCATATCTGCTGCATGAAACAAATGGACATTTTATACAAGTTGGGTCACATGGATTGTGTGTAGCATGCTAGAAGCCTCAATTTATAATCAAACAGAAACAAAGCATGTTGCACATAACATAATGCAAAAGTTATTAAAATACAAATCCCATAGTTACAGCTTTAAAATATGTTTTTTAAAAATATACCACGAGGTTCAACTTGCATCTGTGAAGAGCCTTTTGTGTGACAGCAGTGGGAAGAAACCTAGGCCAACTCAACCTTGTTTATACATTCTGGTTTCCCCACTGCTGTTTACCAGTTTGGCTTTTTAGTTTTGGCAGCTGTCTTCTCCCTTGTTTCAATTTTGATCCACCCCACGCCACCTTTCCCCGGCCGGGCACTTCAATCACAGAGTACCACCTAATTCCCCTCTAGAAAGGTGATCAAGAGATTGACCCACACAACAAAGTTAGAGCATCCCACTCATCCTTTGCATCATTAACCCATTCTTTGAAGCCTAATAATATATCATAAGATCAGCCATACTGGGTCAGACCAAAGGTCTGTCTAGCCCAGTGTCCTGTCTTCCGACAGTGGCCACTGCCAGGTGCCCCAGAGGAAATGAACAGAATGGGTAATCACACCCATTCTCAGCTTCTGGCAAACAGAATATATCTACACTGTAAAGATACATTTTGTTGGGCAGTGCCACATGCTATGCTGAGACACAATCAAGAAACGCACATATCTTTTGAGATGCTTGGGCCTCTGAAGCCCCTGCCTGATGCAATCCCACTGTTTTATGATAGTCCATCACATGCAATATACTGCATTAGTACTGGCTAGTGAAACGGTTCTTTCTCCACCATATGGATCACTCTAAACAATTTTTATGGTGGAACTGAGGCCCGGTGCCAGCAATGGATTGTGTTTAAAGGTGACCTGTGAAGTAAACACGACAACTGAGTTAAGCCCAGAATTACATACTAAATGTTCTCTGCTAATCAGCATCCCATGGAGGAGGCACACCTCAATACAGAAACACTTTTCAACTAACCTTTTCCAACCTCTGTCTGAAATCCTCTTAGTACTTCCTGGACGATATCCCAGAATGCATCATTATGTCCTCACTTATACCATGGGTTTCACTAGCTGCAAACAGACTTCTAGAAGTATTGCGGAGTCACACAATGGGATCTGGGATATCTTCAGTACCAAGACTATTGTAGTGGTGGCATTTAACACAATTCTGTCATTATCTCAGATGGCAAGTTGGTTTTATAAAATTGTTGCTAGCACATTTCAACCATAGTGTGGACAGCACCTCTGGTTTCACAGTTATTTTTTTATAATAATTTTATGAAACTGTGATATACTATTATCCTGGGGTGGCGGGGTTATAATACAGCTGTAATGAGAAAAAACCCTGTCCACATTGTTGAGTGAACCTCTGCTAGCCAGCAACAGCCCTGCTTGAATGGGGTTGTTGCTAGGCAACTTTTCACTACACTGTGAACAGGGTCCAACACTTTTTGCAGGTAAGGGGTGGACAGGTTTTGATCCTGAACCACTCAACCCTACCAGCTTGTTTCCCCCTCCTCCTTTTCAATGTAAAGGGATTTTAAATTTCTTTCTAGAGTTAGGCTGTAGACCAGCCATGGCCTACATCCAAAGACAGGGGATACATCAGAGTTTTGCTAAAGTGAGAAAACTGTGGTCTATAAAGCAGATAATATTTCTATTCTACAGAGATCAAATTCCAAGTTAGATATTTATAATTAAAGTTTATTTTATTTGGATTCTGAAGAACATGAGGACTTTGCAGCAGAATCCTTTTACAATTACTGCTATTTACAGTATTTTGAAAAAGGCTTGCATCCAACTGTGTTTTGGTAAATCCCCCTATTCACTTACTCTTCCCACAAGAGAATTAAGAACCCCACACAGTCTATTTAAATGAAGGTTGTCATTATTCTACTGAGAGAAATGAACTTGGAGAAATTCCACCATGTTGATGAACTTCTGAGAACAAAAGGTATATCTGGTAAACTAAAAAATAAATAAATAAAAAATTCTAACAAACCTCGATCTTGGGGCATTGGTGACTGGCTCAAGGCAGGATGGGAGCTGGATTCTGATTGACTACTAGGAGGCTGAGGTGGCATTTGACTACCTGCAACACACAGAGAGAAAATTTAAAAAACAGACTTTCCATTAACGGTGCAATATGTAAAACCAAAACCCGTTACATTTTTTTTAAACCACTGAACATCACAGAATGTACCAATTGTATACATTAAAGACACAGCTCAGCAGGTCTAGCTTTTTTCACAACTTTTTTTTTTGTTGTAACCCAAGGAGGAAGTGTGCATAAACATATTTAGCAACAGGCATGCCGAAATGTTCAATTTTGTATTGAGCGAGTTCCCAACCTCACTGACATGATCCAATTTACAGCTGTAAATCTCCTGACACATATTTCTGTTAGAGAATTTAACAAAATCCAAGTCTGCTGAACAATAGGGCTCACCCTGCCGAGTTTAAACTGGCCTCCAGCCAAGCAGACATGGACTGCTGCCAACAATATAACCAATGAAAAATCCAGTCAATACAGAAAAGACTAATAACAACAGTTTAAAAAAATATTTCAATGAATCGGTGGACTTAATATATTTGAATGTCCAAGTGTAATGCAGAAATAAAAAACGAAAGCATGCACATGCTGTGAAAGCGTGGTGTATGTGAGATCAGATAGAGATGGGGTATACTGTTATTCAAAAGAAAGGCAAAAATTTACTCTTATTAAAAAAATAGCATGGTATCTTTCATATACACAAAGAGCAGATATGACCCAATTTTAAGTTCATGTTAAAAAACAACAACACCGTCACAGCCAGTAAACTGCATACATCACAGTTTATCTATCCTGCAAGGTTAAAGAGCAGACAGCACTGTCAACATTTTCACCTGTTATTCCAAGGAGACCAGACTTTCAAACCAATGAGGCTTAAAGCACTAGAGCTTTCCTCCTTCAACACTATTACACAGCAAAGCAGGGACTTACTGTCATGGGCGGCGGGTATAATAGGCCAGGGGAGGTTAAATCTCCCCTGGCGCAGCTGCCACCAACCCACCGCTGGATGCCTGGGCCATGATGGCCCCGCCTGCGCTCCGCCTCTTCCCCTCCCTGCTCTGGCCCCTTCCCCAAGGGCCCTATCACCTGCTGCTGCTTGGTGAGTCCCTCCTCTCTTCCAGTCCACTCCCCCTCTCCGGAGGTCCCTGCAGCTCGCAGCATCCCTCCCCACCCCCACGCCCCTGCAAGGAAGGGGGTGGAGGAGAGGAGAGACATGGGGAGCAGTGGGTGGGGTTGGGGGCTCGCTGGGGAGGGGGTGGAGGAGAGGAGACACACAGTGGGCTGTGAGGACCTTGCGGGGGAGCAGGGGAAGGAGATGAGGGATACGCTGTGTGGTGGCGCCAAGCGGAAAGGGGGTGAAGTGAGGAAGGGGATGGGGTCTGGGGTAGAGCGGGGGTGGAGTGTGGGTGGGGCTGCAGGTGGAAGAGATGGGACAGGCAGCTCCCCTCTCCCAGGGGAAGCTTCACCCTCTGCCCATGCTTATTCTACTGATGAATAACACTAGTGAGCCACTTCCCTGGGATGCATCTCAACCCTCAACACAGTGCTAAGCGTGTAGGATCAAGCACCAACTCTTGTGCTGCTGTAAAATGGTGACAGTTTCACACCAACCAATCAAATTGCCACAGCCTAAGGAGAAAGGAGAGCAAGTCTCAGGTGTGTCTTGGGACTTTCATTCACCGCTGATTTTGAGATGTGGCTGCTCCTGACAGCCAAAGCAGCTGGAGGACCAGCTCAGATTAGGCAATAAAAATATATTTTAGGTGGTCAGACACTGCAGTGATGAGTGTGGTATAAACAGTAGCAGAGAGACTTAAACTCTTCCTCATCAAAATGGACAGATTATTTTCAGACTGATTTCCTTTTTTAAAAAATAGCAAGAATAAAGAACACGTCAAATAGATTTGTGCATGCAGAATGCCATTTTCTCTTGCTTAGCTACCACCCTTTTTTACTGGTTGAGGGGAAAATCCAGGGGTTATTTCTGTAGCCATAAGGATTTGTCCCAAAGAGTATCTGTAAGGATTGCTCTTTCTGTAGAATTATGAACTATCCAAATGTTATGGGCAAATAGGGTGACCAGATGTCCCGATTTTATTGAGACAGTCCTGATTTTGGGTCTTTTTCTTATATAGGCTCCTATTACTCTCCACCCCTTGTCCCGATTTTTCACACTTGCTGTCTAGTCACCCTATGGGCAAATCACAGAAGGCAAGTGAAGTGCTATGTATTCTTTCTCCTCCATCTGCACTGTGTCAGAGAAACTAGCCACAATTACAACAGCTGATTTTAAAAGATACATTAGATTTATATGCAATACAAAGAAACAAACTATAATTTTTAAAGTAAAATATAAAAGTTATCTTGCTATTTGAATGGAAAGTATTTGCACTAAAACTCATAGTATGCTGTACTATGATGGGATATGACAACTGCCTCATTTCTGCACTTCGCAAGAGTATGCAAATGGAAGTCTAGAGGCAGAGTTCTTTCTCCAAAAGACCAAACATGGCACTACTATGAAATATTCAGTGCCTGGGGCCTTGGATCCTCAGCCCATTTAGGAACTCTAAAGCATATGAGAACAAAATACTGACTTATTTTTTTATGTCACTCAGGAAAGGACTGTAGCAAGACAGTAAGTGCCTACATTATAATGAACACTTCTGCATGACAGAAAGGATTCAGTGACTCAAGACTGTAAATAAACAGTAATTCCATGTTAACACAGGGCACTACCACTTATACTGTGTATGCCTGAGGCACTTCTATCAGACAGAATATTTCAAGTAAACCTAAAACATGTTTTATCAAAACCATCTATGACTTTATAAGTTACTAAAAGAGGCAGGGGTACTGCTGGTTGCATTGTACAGCCCCAAGATGGGAATTCCTTTAGGGTCAGGGAAAGAAATTCCTTTGGGAGCTGTTAAAAATCAAATAGAAGATCTATGCTGTGTAGTTTATTTTGCATCCATTTACGATGAGCTTGTAAAATCTTTCTAACACTCTAATTTTTAACACTGAGAATAATGTCAATTGTTAAGGAAGAACCTTATCCTGCATATACAGTCATGCAAGCACAGCATGGTGAAATCAAACTTTAGAACTGTGCGTATGTAAATTAGGCACTACAGATATCAATTTCATCTGCCTCCTCTAGAAATGTGAAGTCAGGAGTTTCTCAAATAAAATGATGGGTACCTGTAACCATTTGCACAAGTATTTATTTATTTACAACGGGGGTACTTTGAAAATCTCCCCCTTATTTAATAAAAGCTTTAGAACAAAATTTGGCTAAGTCACAAGCGAAAATTATTTCTGTAAAGAACGAGCAGATCAACACTGCGAGCCTTGAAGAAAGATTAGCTCAACTGGTGCTGCTGTAGATTATTCACATGGTGAAATTCAACAAACTACAAAATTATAAGTTAGACCAAAAGCAACAAAAGGAGAAAAATGCTAAGATCGCCATTTAACCCTTAAGTGGTGACCCACAAGTGGAAAAGAGTTGGTGCTTTTTTGATTTCTTTCAGATATATAAAGATGACCTGCAAGGTTGCTTGTTTCTTTAAAAAGGTTTATTCTTTTTCTTTCTTTGATCATTGTTTTTATTATTATTTGCGTCGTGGTGGCATGTACGAGCCCCAGTCATGGAGCGGGACCCCATTGTGCTAGGGGCTGTACAAACACAGAATAAAAAAGATGGTCCCTGCCTCAAAGAGTTTACAATCTAAATACCCTAGGAATTAAAGTGTAATTAATTGAGAACTGATTTATATTCAAATGGGTTAAAACTCTGGGGTTTATTGTTTATTTAATACCCATTTAACCAAAACATTACGGAGAAAAATGTCATTGGCCTGACTGTGCAATGTCTGATGGGTGGGCGAATGCTGCACTTAATGGGGCTTTTTGCAGTCACAGAGGTCCACCTATGTGGACTGTGTGTTGCAGAAGCAGGGCCTTTGTTACGAATTCAAGCCCCACCAAATCTTCGAAGTGAAGCTTATAAAACTCCTAGTATGCATTTTTGAGATGCCAAAAAATTTTTCAGCACAGCTAGGGAAGACCACAGATTCCAGATATTTCTAAGGTAAAAAACAATCAAAAGAAAGAAGTAACTGCTATTAAAATAACCTACCAACCCAGCCACCCTTTCTGGCCTTCAGACAATATATCAAAAAGAAGCAAGAATGGGCATAAACCTTCCATCCCATTCCCCGTTAGAAGCTACTTTTAATTCCATATTAACTGATTTTTCTATTTAATTTTGGAAAGAAAATTGCAAAAAATGCAAACAAGTGTTTTCATACATTACTGTAGCTTTCGTACATTACCATAGCTATTTGAAAGAAAAAGAATAACATTTTATTTTTTCACTGACAAACTATTTTGACCTATTTTTTAGTCTCTAAGGTGCCACAAGTACTCCTGTTCTTCTTATTTTGACCTAGTGCAATACAAATGGAACTTTTAACGGAGCTGAACTTTTCCCATGTTTTTGCGTAGCACTGTTGCTACATTGATGAAGTATTCCATCTGCCAGAATTTATGCAGGATAAACACTACTGTGTATGTTGCATAGCATTTTTATTATGCAAAATCACAGCAAATAAAGTAATGTGTGTTAAAATACTTGGCAATGACAGGCTATTCCATTTCCGTAGATTTCGTACAGTCACACCGTCATATGTAAATCTTGGTAGCAGGAGTGCCATTCAAATCAGTAGCACTGTGTACTAGTCATACTGCATTATACGTAGTGCGGAATGCAGTGCCTATAAAAATCTTTATGCAACTACTGGTGCATACACAATAGAAGCTTGTAAAATTTAGATAACAATCTTTTCAACTTTGTTGTTAAAATACCAAAAGTGGGAGCCCTATTACTTTATAACTGCCTACCAGACTGTATTATTTTTAAAAATCAACCTTGTATTAGAAAAATGTAGAGAGAGAGAAAGAGGAGAAATCATTTTAAATGGTCAATAATATAATGACAGACTATGATTTTTCTGCATATAAAATAGGTTAGG